GCTACCAACTGCGCCACCTTGCAGCCGTCATTATTATTATTGCTGAAATTATTGTTGAAATCAACATAATCTAACTACTGAGTCTCGCTACAGCAGGCAAAGATATATATGTGTATGCCTTTTATGTGAAGGAACTGAATTCAGAGCCTTTTAAGACGTGGATTCGTTGATAAACTTCTTCTTTTCAGTCATATTTTTTTTTCTTGTGGTGAACCCTATTTAAACCTAGAAATACATTCTTTAAATAAAAGCTATACTGACTCTCTCTGTATGAGACCATACTGTGCCATGTATATCCACGTAAATTAATGCACCTTGACTGAATGATGGCTGAGCTCCAACAAAAACACATGGTGCGCGCAACATGCAGCCACCTGTGTGTATGTGTGTGCTATGGAATGTATATTGTGTGTTACTTGGATTCAGAGTAAGGAAGAAGGTTTCAGGAGGAAGAAAAAGAATTAAAAATGGAGCTGCTGTGACAGCTGGGAGAACAGCTTGCTGTAGGAAACCTCTCTTCACCCCTCTGCTGTGTGTTTGTGTCTCTCACTGAGAACAGGATGTAAAACTGTTCAGCCAGCTGAAAAACAACAACAGCGTTCATTTTTACAGCCAAATCAAACGCTTTCTTCTGTTTCACAGCTTAGAACCCAGAGAATATTGTAGCTCTGAGCCAAACATATGTAACAACACTCACATTTGCTCAGATGAAGGGGCATTGCTCTGGATGGAGAGGTAATTTACGATTGCCGAGACAACACAGTGGCTGACAGCCTCCATTTAAAGCTAATTTGTTGCTGCAGTGAACATTAATTATTGACTCTTCCACACAGCTGTTGTGTTTGCATCTCTGATCAACACTGTAATTAACAGCTTTTAGCCATAATGTTTAAAGCGAGAGAAATAAACATAAATTGTGTAAACGAGCTGTACAATTTGCTGTACAGCTCATTTGTTACTACATATGTTATTACAGATACCTGGCTATCTGTACTTATTCTTTGGTCTTCGTAACCTGTTTTTTTTTTTCTTCTTTTGTTTATATAACTTTTTTTAATTTTTTTTATCTCCTCTAACTCCAAATCTCTTAGTATCCAATAGAAAAAAAAGACTTAATATGAGTACAAAAGCTTTCATATCTTTTTACAAAAGCAAGTCTGCATTTGTAAGCATCACATGTCAAACAGTAAGACAACACTTTGCTAAACAATCAGTTGGATATGGATATGAATATGGATTATGAGTTGCATCTGAGATCTACACTGTTCACCTTTCGTCTTGGAGGTTTTCCTTAAAGTGTTGAATACTGATGCTTCTCAGTGACTTTCTTGTTTCACTACCATGTCAGGCTGTATATTTCCATGTATTGTTATCTTAAACGCAATGACTATGTGAGAACTCCTTCACTATTCACTTTATAGTTCAATATGTGTGTATGCAGTATCTACTGGCTAGGGAGAATTATTTTACCTGGTTGTGCTCAAATTATCCACAGTGCATTAGATAATAGTCACTAACTAATCATGCTTTGTGCAGACAGGGAAAAAGGTAAATTTAGAAGCTGCCAGGAGAAAGAAATGACCTTGGTGAGGACCAAAAACTGCTCTTTCCAGTCTGCCATCTGACAGACTTCATAATTAAACTGAATTCATTATGTGAACAGTGACTGACCTTGGACACAGCTTGTGTCAGACCTGGCAGCACCATCACAAACCAATTCTATTTCCACCTGTGGCCATTTAAAGGACTACAGGACAATGATTGAAATAAGCTGACAGTATATCAACTTTGTGTTACCCATAACTATTTATGGTCCGTTTAGCTCAAGTCAACTAAAGCTTGCTCTGATGTTAACACCAGACTGCCGAGGCTTGGCAGTGATGATGGTCTGGTTGATGAAGCAGCAGCATGCAGCTGACCTGAAGTTTCTCCCTGTTTGACAAGCCTCACACAACCACAATCATACACAGCAGAGGTTTGCTGCAGCCCCTATATCACCCCCTGCTCTGCAGCTCAGCACCGCTGAGCTCGCATTCATCAACGCTACTGTTGCTAGGTGCAACAGGGAGACATTCATCTACTGTCAGATGTGAGGGAGGCATATTAAAGGGAACCTATTATGCTCATTTCTAGCTCTATATTTACATTTTGAGTAGTACATTTTGACTCCAGTTGAGTAGTTTTGCATGATTCACATTTAATATATACATAAATTATTTATCTGATTCCAGATCTTTATGCAGCCTCTCAGTTCATTCACTGTTCATTCACTAGTAGGGCTACTGTAATTTGTCTGCGTAGTCGATAATGTATGGTTTTTACTTAAAAAATAACGCTTTAAGACAATTCAATAATTAATATTTTTAGTTTGCATGACTATGTAATGGCTGCACCATGACGTCTGCGGTTTTAGTCTGCATTCAGTGAACAGTAAGACCAGTAAGACTCTGAACTGATTCAGTTCAGTGTCCCAGTTCAGTTTCCAAAGACCCAAGACTTCGAAAGAATTGGAGTATTTCAAATAATCACAGAACACTTTGTACACTGTACAAAGTTTTGGTAGAATACCACAGCAGCACAGCAGAATGTACAAGCACTTGAACAGAAAACACAGAGATGACATTCAGTGTGGAGTTGCTGTACATCGGTTTGCTTCTCTCCTGCTCTCCGTGCTCACATACACTGTATTTTATTATAGCTGAATGTTTTCAGACAAATATAATGAAATCCAGACCGATATGTGGATCTATGAAACTACAAATCACTGAACACGAGTTAAAGAAAATAGCTGTGCTGTGAGTTTGGTTGTATTTTCAGAGATTTTAAAGTTGTTACCAAAGCAGAAGAACAACTACACAATAGTGGATTTTAAGGGCAGAGCAGCTAAAGCAACGCCTTAAATATACACACTGAACTTTTTCACTTTGTCAAGGGGTTTAATCAAAACTTTGAACTTCATTTGGACTTGCACTACTGACTTAAATAATAAGACACCTTCTACATTTTTATCATGTTAAAGTTTCCGGTTTTGCACATTATTGTAGTTAACCTTTCTTGAAATTCAACACGGCGCTGCGTTATACAATGACGTACAGTTTATCACAATAAAATTATGTCTAGTAAAATGACGTTTGAAGCAAATAAAATAATTGTTTACATTAATCAACTAATCTGTAAAATAGTTCGAAGATAGTAGGAAAATAGTCATTAGTGGCAGCTCTGTATTTAAGGCTCCCCTTCTTGAAGGCCAGCATCCTTCTCTTTGCTTCTTCTTCTCATCGTCTTGTAAGTGTGGAAAAAATCCACAGCAACACAGATGACAGCACAAAGTCTCAGTTTGGAAAATACGTTGCTCATACCCTGCTTGTCATGTGGCATAACAGTGGATTTATTCTGTTAATTTCAAACTATATATAAAACTGATTCTTCATATGCTCCTGTTAAGTGGAAATGAGCCGAAGGCCTGCTGAAGTGGAATGCACCTTCCAAAAATACCAAAGGTGACAGAGCTAGTGGAGTGTGCTGGTTGTTCTATCACAAAACTACAGGAATGTATCTCCCTGCACCGTCAGGTATTTGTGTTTTTGTTATTTTGTCACAATGATTTCTTTTACATGCATTTACTTTATTATTAGGACATGTGGCCAATATTTAATATGAACCTCCAACACCGCAACATGATGCGCAGGACAGAAAATGAGGAAAACCATCTTATCTTAATACAGGGAGGAAGAGGAGCACAAGTGAGTGGTGATGGAGGTGTGAGGTTGACAGTGTTTTGGTTCTCACCTGCAGAGGTCTGCTTGAACTTCTCACTCTTTTTCTTCCTCCATTTCCACGGTTTGAACAGGCGTCCCAGAGTGGCGAATTTGCTGCGCCGACGGATGGGAGGCGTGTGCGTGCCTGGTACCAGCGAATCGGAGCGCATCGCCGCCAACCTCTCTACCTCCTCGGCTGGAAAACACAGTGAGAAGCATTAAGCTTGTTAAGGTTTGATGGTGTTTTTGTGAAAGCACACGAATAGCAGAATTAAAATGTATTATTACAAGGCATTTATTTGGAGTTTTTGTTATATAATTTGCAAAAGAAAAAGGTACAGAGTAGCAACGACTACGATTATTAATCTATAATAATAATAATCGTCGTGGTGACCGTAAGTCCATGAATCTCAAACTATTGCTGTAAGATGTCCTACCCTCCAATGACTCCTTCATTTTCAGATAAAATCTATATACCACACTCATAAATTTCATCTGTCACACCCATATTGACAGAGTTACTCAGAAAAATCAATCTTGCCTCGACCGGAATATTTTTGCTGCTACAGTGCAGTTCCATGTGTATAAGCTTTAAAAATAACGCTGAATGACACATAATTTTAGGTCGTTTTAAAAGGTCAGTTCAAATGAGGCACTAAGTAAATATTTAGTTACTGTGCTGCATATTTATTGTGATAATGGACTTCTTAAATCCACAGTTAACACAAGCAGGACATCACTAGTGTTTGCTTCAAATGTCAAGGGATGTACTCTGCCAGGGGGCTGTGCATAATCAAGTCAGGTAAAGCTTATTTGGATCGCTCTTAATCACAGTTAATGTGTCAGGTGGCTCCACCAGCAGAGGCCTTATGTAACAAAGACGAAGAAAAAAAAAAAAAAAACACGCTTCGCTGAGGAAAAAATGGGAGAAAAACACCAGGATGGGTCTGACAGAGAAAGAGAGAGAGGGTAAATAAATGTGGACACGAAATAGAACTTAAACAGAATGTAAACAAGAGTGCAGCGAATATCTACGAGACATTCAAACAGAAATATAAGCTTCTCCAGCTGGGAGTCTTCCCTCCTCCATGTTTTTCATTCACTGTCTCCCTCTGAGCTGTAATTCCCTCCGCCCCACAGGGAGTTGTCTGAAAGTAATCAAGCTGGAGGCCCCTCTATGCAGCGTGCTCCAGTTTTCCATTTGAAATTACACCTTTCCCATTACGCACAACATCCTCTGCAGAACAAGGGCATGATGCTGGAGCCGGCAGCCACAGATGGAAAAAAAAAACAAAAGGAACATTTCAGCAGGCAGTGGTGGATGGAAACACACACACACCAGCAGACACACACTGCACACGCTACAGCAGAATAGATAAAGATACATACACATGCACACTGACACAGACACGTGGTAATTTGGGATTTTTCAAAATATCGTAGAAGGAAAACTGAGGACAAAACCTATTGTTACAGCAAATACTGAAGAACTGCTGAGAGTTTGTAGGCTCACGTATCACCCTAATTTCTGCAGAAATAAGCCAGTGTGAGGAATATAAAAAACATGTGGAGTCTGAACTTTAACAAACATTTGGTGAAATTTGTAGGAATAGAGGTGCAAAACTTATTTGTGAAAGGAGTTCTGTTACTCCTCAACAACACTGATGGACATTTTTCACCATTTTCTGACACTTTGTGGGTCAAACAACCAATCAGTGAATTGAGAAAACAACCGATAGACTAATCAAAAAGAAAAACAAGCATTAGTTGCAGCCCTGTAAATGATGAGAAACAGTTTAGAAAAAAAAAATGTTTGGGTATAAAAAAATACTCAAGAATCAAAAGAGTGAGGGAAAAAAAACAAAAAAAAAAACCCCCACTGTTATGCTTCATTTCAGCAGCATTCAACTACATCAGCAAAGCAGCTTATGAGACATCCAGCTAACCAAAAGACCAATAACCTCTTCTTTTTTTTCTTTCTTTTATTAGAAAGCTCCTGACTTCTGAAAACATTTCCGCTAAAGAGAGTGAAACCAAAAATAAAATCAGTCAGTGTCAGCGGTTGGACGGAAAACTAAACTGACTGTAAACCAGCAAGCAGCTGCAGACAGGAGGAGATGTCAGCCTTAAGGTGGCCTTGTTACAAGAGAGATGTCAGTTCAAATCTGCACCAGCTCAGCAGCTACCATTGAGCGGCCCTTCAACAACAACATCCATCCCCCCCGCCCTGCCTCTGCCTCCCTCCCTGCTGCTCAGCAGACAGGTTGAGTCTGTGGTTGGTCTCTGTAGCACCCTGGTGTGAATGTCAGAGAGCTCACAGAAACCTTCCCTGCACAAATAAAGGGGAACGTTCTCTAAACGTGAAACATGTCCAGCACCAACGACAATCATTTCAGAAGTGCAGCAAAGTCATTTGGCTACAAAACACTTGAACTATGCAGCTCCAGCTGACCAGAAATGGCCTTTTTCATTTCCTTTAATGTATTAGATGACAGTTCGGAGGGATTCCCACTATGCTCATCTTTTGTCTCTGGAAACACAATGAAGGTGTCTCGTTCCTCCCGGTGCCGTCCGACCCCCCAGCGGTGAGTCAGAGGGCTCGGACTCACACTGCAGGGCGACATTCTTTCAGTCTGACCCCAGGTCTGTTATCTCGCTGCTGCCTCAAAACACTGACTCAGTCAACAACAAGCTCCAAAACAACTCAGATGAGCCAAACACGAGGCGATGCTGGCAGGGCGGAAGAAGCAGCTCACTTCATTAGATGACTAAAGTTCCTGGTTGATTCATGTTTTTAGATTTGTTTGGGTTTTTTTTTTTTTGTCTTGTTATTGGGAATGACCTGGAATAAATCAATGCTGCAGAGTTGTGTTTTGGATTGAGTGGACAATAGATTTTCGGCATCAATCCTCAACCTGACTGTATTGATCTGTAAACACTTTGACAGATCTTTCAATTAATCACATAAATTCTGTGACAGTCCAGTGGGGAGTTCTGCAGTCATGAGCAGCCTGGATGACTGTGAGAATGGTGACGGTGGTGCTAAAACTATGAGCCCATTTCTTGATTAGCTGGTTGACTGATAATTAATGGGCAAGAATTTTAGCAACTGATGAGGTTAAGCTGCTTTGCAAACATTTGACGCTTTACATACTGAATATCTTTGACTTCTAGTCTGACAAAATTTTATTTATTTTTTTACAGTTTTCTCACATTTGATCAACTATATAATCCACATATAACATAACAAACATTCAGGTTATTCCTACAACATTTAAATCAACTGTTCTGCAGACAGGCAGTAATACTGGAGAGAGATCTAATTTAATCAACTGATTAATTGCACAAATTCTATAATGCACTATTATCTAGAGCTGCAACTATTAATCAATTAGTTGCCGACCATCTAAGTATTCATCAGTTCTCATAATAAATTCATTGGTTTGAGTAATGCTTTTTTAAAAAAGAGAAATAGTCATAATATCTGATTCCAGCCTCCTAATTTTGAATATTTTCTGGTTTATGAATATCAAGACACTGGAGGATGTCATGTTGGGCTTTGGAAAACACTGCCCAACTTATTTCACATTTCATGGACCAAACAATTGATTAATCGAGGAAACAACAGTCAGCCTAATCATCAACTAAAGTAATGGTTAGTTGCATCCTTACTACTGATCTATAGCACATTACTTGAGTCCGAGCGTCCAAAGATGCTGTGACAGCGGTGACACTCTTCCATGAATTGATCAATCGATTGACAGAAAGCAGCAATGCTGATAATTTATTAATGATTTAAGCCATTCAAGCCAATAACAGCCTCTGCATGCTGTGTTCCAGCCTCTCTGTAATAAAGATGTGCAGCTCCTCTCTGTCTTCCATCACTGTGAACTGAATCTCTTTGTGTGCACTGTTAGATTTAAAGCTGTGGCCTAGAGCTTACTTGAGGCAGTTTTTAGGACATTTTATAGACTAAACACAGAGTGGATTAGTAACAAAAAACACAGATTAAAGCAGAGTGATAATAATCATTAACTGAAGACCTCATTATGGTCAAATAAGTCTTTTTTTTCTTTTTTTGAAAGAAAAAAACTGCAGATAAGCGGACATCACTTCTATGGACAGATAATACTGGGATCAGATGTTTCAGTTAAACCAACTACAGCATTAATTACAGCAGTGTTGGATGGGATGATGGGTCAGTATCTACTTTCAGAAGACTCAAGGAACCAAAACGCACACAAGGAACCAAAACTAAACACAAAGCCTGAATCTGAAATCATGTGCTACACCAACTCCAGTAACTCAGAGACAGCAGCTGTAACAACACTGACTGAAGAAGAACACGCTTTAAGCAGCACTGAGCTCCTTTAAGGTCACTTTAAAGGTAAATCGCTACACACGGGGACACTGAGGGCTGATGTGCTGCCCCAGATGCTGTCAGCCTCCCCGGCAGGCAGGGAGCGGTCCGACGCATGACAGGGATCATTTCCAAACACAGCAGTAAAACCTCCTCCTGTCTGCTCTGCTAGTCTCACCGTCCAGCGGCTCCGCTCCCCGGCAGTTGCTGCAGATGTGTTTGATCTCTTTTCCGATCTGACAGTGGATCATGAACGGCATGTTGTTGTTGTTGGTGGCGGGCTGGTGGTGCTGGTGCTGCTGCTGCTGCCTGCCGGAGCTGTTGCGGGACTTGATCCTTGCCAGGCAGAAGGCTTTCCTTCTCTTCCTCGGCTTCTCCTCCTCGGACGCGGGGACCACGGAGGATGGGGTGTCGGTGGGAGACCCGGATCCGGACCATGAACGCCTCACGTCGCCTCCACAGACCGCCATGTTTGCACTGGACTGCAGGGCTGGACCCTCTGCCCTCTGCTTCTCTGAGAGAGATTTCAAACGGTCTGCAGCGCCATTCGATGCTGTCAAGTCAGCCATCACACAAACACATTGCCGGACAGCTTCTACAAAATAAAAGCCTGCGACCCTGATATTCTTTTAAGATCTGCAATCATGAGTACTAACTGAGATATTAGTTCCTACAGTATATTTAAGCAGAAAAAAAGTCCTATTCATAGTCTCTTTATTTGCTAATAAATAGCTGAGCAGTGGTATTATAGAGTAAATGGAGCAGACTAGAACTGTCTTGTAAGCAAAGGTGGATTTTCGTTGGGACATTTGTTCTGCTATGGGAGGCATTTAGCATAGTTTGGGTTCGCTCATCTTTTTAAAGGAAAGGATCGCTGCAAATCAATACAGTTGTTCTGAGCGATCACCTTCACTGTATGATGAAAAGTCTCTACCCTGATGGAAGTGGTCTCTTCCTGGATGACAATGCCCCCATCCATGGACCACCACCATCATAAAATCACCAAATGAGGGAATATCTTGTAGAAAAATGGTTTCCCTCCCTTGATTAAAGCTCCATAGACTTGGAGAATTAATGCCAAGAAGCACTGAAGCTGTTATGGCAAAAGTACTGACCATAACTTGGTCTGCCATCTACATACAGATAAGCCTGAGCATGGGCAAAAAGAAGAGAGAACAAAAAAATAAAAAATTAAAATATATTGTTCAATTACTACTTGCATGGAACAGGTATGAGGTCAGTAAAGTCAATATATTGTTCTCTACATCAGTGTTCTATGCTGTAAGGAGTAAAAATGGAACAAAAACATTGACAAATAGCAGGAAAAGTTTCATTACATTTTAAAAAATATAAATGTACCTTGAGATGTAATGGAACATCTATTAGCACTGCTAGTAAGCAATTTGTGTAAAACTAAGTTTAGTTCGGCTGCTTCTTGCCAGAGTTGCATTCAGAAACAGCTTGTTGTTATGTCAACAAACAAGATGTTAGATTATTTTACATTGAAATCAATCGCAAGCGTCATGACTTTATTTTGAAGGCCTACTTCACTTCAGGTTTCAATCTATGTTTGTGGTGGCAGCTTTACACACCTCTGGCCCTCACACGGTCAGCCAATCACAGATCACTGATGCCTGTTGGACCGCCGGCATCAGCCAATCAGGTGGAAGCACCGGGATATTTAGAATGTAGCGAGTATAATCAGAGAGAAAAAACATAGACAGCGAGAACAAATATCTTTCCCATACAGAAATAAAATCACAGGTAGCCAGTCTTTGTTTTGCACCCATCAGCTGTGTCAAATATTTTACATTTATGTGTATTTATATGCACCTTCACTTATAGATTTGTGTTATTTTTTTTATGTGAGGCATATTGTGTGTCTGCCATAAACCTTATGGAGCCTGCAGCAGAGGAGGCTGCAGTAATAGGACCAGATTTCTAAGACCTTTGATTGTGCTGACAGCACCACCTACCAAACTGTATGACCACTGAAGAGTGCGACTTATGATTTAAAGTTAATTTCCTTCCTAATTCCACTTTCTGTCCAAGTATTCATAGTTTTAAATGTTTCTTCCATCCAATTAGTACTTCTAATACTTCCCAATTAACAAGTTATGTTTTAAAATGTTTATTCCACTCAAAATTGTACATAGTTCTTTTCTTTTCTTTTCTTTTTTTTTAACCAGTTGGTGAGGGCTACAAAAGCTAGTTCACATTTGGAGTTGTCAAGTGGTTGACGTGTTATCTGGCCCGAAGAGAAGTTAATACAAAAAAAAAACAACAACAAAAAAACAAGGGTACTACGACTGTAGTCCTAAAAGTGCAGAGACACACTACTCTGATCAACAGGACATCTCATCTTTAGTTTTTTTTTATATTCCACCGTGATTCCATGTTAATTATTTTTACAAAATATATTTAAAACACATTTAAAAATGTATTGGTAATTTAAATTTAACTGCACTCTTGAGTCATATGGAGTTAAAAGCTCAGTAATATAAGCAGGTGAGAGCCGACCATGAGCCATGAAAGTAATCAATAGAATCTGAAAATAAACTTTACTGGAAGACAACAGAGAGGAGCCAAAGCGGGAAGTGCTACCTTCCCACTTCTAGGTTATGAGCAGTCTGCAGTTCCCTGTAATCTGCAAATATGTTTCAGGCTGAGGCAGCTTCACAAGGGGCTTTGATGGAGACAACAACAAAAGACGGCACAGACAGCAGCTCCAAGATTCGAAAGATGAAAAGAAGCTAAATTTGGAAAAGCTTTTATATTTAAAAAAAAGAAAAAAGAAAGAAAAAAAATCTAGAAGAACTGACTCAACATGCATGACAGGGACATTTGCATCTGTGGAGGCCAACAAAAGGACACAACCTGCAGTAACAAGTCTCTGCCAGCAGGTGGAAGTCACAACAAATAAATGTAAAATAAATTCATCCCACCTCAAAACAGTGACAGACTGAGCTGCAGGGTGCAGACTGCTTAGGAGGAGTCAGTGTCTAATCAGCTGCTATCTCCTCCACCAGTCAGCTGCAGTGCACAACAATAACACACCTCGGATGTGTGTGCTTGAGTGTCTAGACTCGTGTTTATACAGCCAGTTATTAAGGGCTATTTTCCATGTGTATTGTGTGTTAATGCTCGTGTATTTTACATAACGCTAACATCAAAAGCATATGCTGCATTTTGCTCACTGCAAACGATGACTCATGGAGCCCTTCAAAGTACACTGTTGTGTATCACAAGATGAAAGGAGAACGGTTTAGTTAACAAGGCTCGTGTCTGGAACGAGCCCTCCTCCTTCAATAAAGTATCAAGCCTCCAGCTTTCTGCTCAGTTACTAGGAAAGACATCAACATAACGAAAGGATTCTTTACAAACACTACTTGTTTGAAGTGGATGAGGCCTAAATTGATGAAACAAGGACCAAGTGAGAAGCATCATCATGGCTCCTCATCTTATATGTCACACAGGTTTCTCTACAGAGTCTTATTCTGATGACTCTTGATTTAAAACCACTCTTTGACTGTTGTTGCTGCCTTCGATGAGAAGGAGATGGGAGATTAGAGCAGTGGTGGTGTGAACTGATCAATAAATCCATAGGCTCAGTCTCTTATACACAAGCTCAGGCCAACTGTATGTCTCATGGATGTGCCTGGTGGACAAGGTGAGTGCGCCTGTATTGACGAAGTGACAGCGATGCATGACAGACTGTTGGCATGAGTCACATTACATACAGAAGCAGCTAAGAGGAGCATAGATCAATCTACACTTAGACTTAATGGAAGTATTTGGATATTCTGTTCAGCTAAAAATAGAGGATGAAATATTATGCGCAACAAATCTTAAAGCATCAACTGTAAAAGTGCTCATTATGCAGATTGTTTTATTACCATATACAGTGCCCTCTAATAGCTGAGTGAAAGTGATGTGTTTGCTATATTAAGCATTTGAATTTAAGATGAAAAAAAGACAAAAAAAGAAATTGGCTTTGCAGTTTTTTTCCCCCACACTATTTATTTGTAATTAGCATGCAAGTACGTAAGAACACTGATTATCTCATTTCAATGCCATGCTTTGCTTGGGAAACCTGGTTCCTGGCATTTATGTGGATGTTACTTTGACACCCACCTAAACACTGTTTCAGACTGAGCACGCACTGCACAGCAACTGCACTCCTTCAACAGGACTACACACCCTGCCGCTCTGCAAAAACTGCTAAGGAACGGTTTGAGGAGCACATAAGAGCCCAAGGTGTTGACCCAGCGTCCAATCACCCAAGATCCCCATCTGATCAAGCATTCACAGGGTGTGCTGGAACATGCCTGGTACATAGAGGCCACAACCCACAATGTGCAGCACCCAAAGGAACCCCTTTCAGCACCACAGGACATGCCCAGAGGTATATGGTCTGATGGGTCAGATGTGTTTTAGTGGCAAGGGGTGTTATGTTGTGGCAGATTGATGTAAATTTAAATGCTTGAGGGAGGAAAAACATCATTTTCTTTTTGGTGTGAACGCACTTTTTGGAGCACACTGCATCATTGCTTTAAAACATGTATCTTAAACTTTTTTTTGTGAGTGATTAAGAGCAAACATTCTCCTCGTCCACCAAAATAATAAACCTAAAACCATATGTAAAAACAGGACTGTTCTTTGTTCATGAAAAATGTACATTCTGGACACTTTATTAGCAATACTTTTGTGGCAGCAGAGCTCATTTTGTCGACTGTTAATACCGCTGCAGAGTAGTTCAACATATAAATTACATTATTGCTTATAATCTGATACTGTGTTTAAGCTAGCAGTTTAGCTTTGCACTTTTATACATTTGTAGGAGTCACAAGAGTCATATTTGAAAATGACTGTTCATATTAAAACACCTCAGGCTAAATGTCCATAATTGGTTGAAAAAAAGGAACCTACATTTCCTGTTATGCTACATCTTTTCATTAAGGACATACTTGGGCTTGTCATGTCTTGTCAACACACATTCAGTACTGAAGGGAGGAATACAATTCATAAAGAAATTAAAATGAGTTAGTGAAAAGCCTGCAAGACTGGAATTCAAAAAGCACAATGTCATATTATTTTAGATGTTTAAGGATGGACCATCTCTCTCATAATCTTTGATAAAAGCATATTATACTTAATATTTATCTTGCCAGTGTCCAATGTGCAATATTTTCCTTATCAGTTCCATCATGAAGAACAGACATTACTTGAACCATCTGTGGAAGGTTCTGCATCACCTGTGTTTGGATATGAATAAAAACAATATTCATGCAGAATCTAGGATTAAATTGGGATTTGTGAAGAGGGAAAGCTGTTGTCCAGTGAGGTCAGGGCTCACAAGTCTGCTGACTGTAGAAACACGGACTATTTCTTCAGAAGAAAGTACTTCTGGGTAAGCTGTACGTACTGTGTTCTGTGGATATGTCATGTCCAGAAGAACACTGACTCTGTT